ATGAAGCGCAGTTTAAAAACATTGTTATTGTTGTTGCTTACCGACCACCTTCGTGTTCTGTTGGAACTTTTTGCGAATCAATCGATGATGTCCTGACACGTTTAAATGAAAAAAATAAACACATCGTGGTCACAGGTGACTTCAACATAAACTTAACTGACGATATAAACAGCAATAATAACCAACTGCAACAAATCATGGATCTGCACGGTCTTTGTAAATTAATAAATCTCCCCACCAGAATAACAGCAAACAAACAATCAGTTATTGACAACATATTTGTAGATGGCTCGTTGAATGTGTGCTTGCAAGGAGTGTTGGCCTGTGATTTGTCTGATCATTTGCCGGTCCTCACACAAATTTCTTTCAGCAAACAAGTAAAAAAAGAAAAACTCATCGTAGTGCCTTCAACAAAATTCTTGTTCTCATCAAATCGAATCAGCAACTTAAATAAACGACTTTGTGAAATTGATTGGACCGACGTATATGATTGTTGGGATGTCGAAATGGCTTGGGTAAAATTTGTCGAGCTTTTCAAATGTTGTATGATAAAATGCTGCCAAGTAAGTAATAATAAAATTAATAAGATCAGCAAACAAAAGCCATGGTTCAATAGTGAAAATAAAAAGATACTGAAAGCTAAAAATCGATTGTTTAAAAAATTCCTTAAAAACCCAAATGATGAAAACAATAATAATTATAAATCTGCAAATAAAATTTATAAAAAAATAAAAAACAACGCAAAGAAACAGTATTTCCATAATATTCTAGAAAATAACAAACATGATATGAAAAAATCATGGAAAATTATGAATGATGTTCTGAGGAGATCAAATAACGACTCAAAAAGTAATAATATACATCTGAAAAGAAATGGCCAGATTGTAAATGATCCAGAAAATGCTCTAAATGATCACTTTGTTTCTATCGCCGAGAAACTTAACGTAAATTTTGTTAAAACTTTTGAATATAAAAAATCAATGAAAAACACTATTCAAAATTCAATGTTCATAAGTTCAGTGACAACGTCAGAGGTTTATCAAGCAACAAGATCTCTGAAACCAAAACTGTCTTGTGGATACGATAATATTCCGTCCCAAATAATTTTAGCCACAATACATTCAACGATACAAATTCTAACACACCTCATAAATGCTTCATTAGAAAAAAGCATATTTCCAAAAATATTTAAAATAGCCAAAGTGATACCGATTCAAAAATCAAAAAACAATGATGAAATCTCAAATTTTAGGCCTATCTCACTACTACCCGGTTTCTCAAAGATATATGAAAAAATTATTCACAATAAATTATCATCTTTTTTGGATAAGTATAACATTATCTCCGAAAATCAATATGGATTTAGAAAAAAATTTTCAACTGAAATGGCAATACTTGAACTAGTTCGCAGCATTGGTAAGGCATCAGAAGAAAAAAAGTTCACTGCTGGTATTTTTTTGGATTTGAGCAAGGCTTTTGACTGTGTTGATCATGAAATTCTTCTCAGTAAGTTGGCACATTATGGAATACGAGGGATTGCCTCAAAGTTGCTAGAAAGTTATTTGCGTGATAGATGGCAGTACGTAAGATGGAATGAAAATGATTCAAGACTGCAAAAGATCAATTCAGGAGTTCCTCAAGGCAGCATCCTTGGCCCCTTGTTGTTCACCATTTATATCAATGACCTACCAAACTCCTCAAACAGCTTTAATTATGTCATGTATGCTGATGACACGAACCTATTCAAGAGTAATAAAAAAATAAATGTGTTGATAAATGAGATCAATAATGATGTTCAATCAGTTATTCAATGGTTCAAAAACAACAGACTGACTCTCAACAGAGAAAAAACAAAATTCATGGTTTTTGGCCCAGTGCAGTTACTAAATTATAAAGAGCCATATAAAATCGTTATTGAAGGTGAAACGATAACAGAAACAAAATCATCAAATTTTTTGGGAATTATTCTGGATAACAAATTGACCTTTAAAAAACACATAAATTCCGTATCAGATAAACTATCAAGATCCCTGGGCGCCATCAACAGAATCAAATTCTTTCTACCAAGACGCTCTCTAAATTTATTGTACAATTCAATATGCCTTCCTCACCTTGTCTACTGTAACATCATCTGGGCATCAACTTATCCCTCGTTAACACAACCGTTGCAAATGCTCATGAAAAAAGGAATGAGAATCATCACCTGCTCAAAATACAATGCGTCAACAAACATTTTATTTCTCTCAACACGCAACTTAAACTTCAGAAATCTTCACATGTATCACTGTGCTACTTTTGTTTTCAAACATTACGCAGGACTGCTACCCAAAGTTTTTTGTGATTATTATAACTTTGTTTTGACAAATAGGCACAGAAACATAATTCGTTGCAATAAATCGAAAACAAACATTTTATTTTTTCATATTTTATGCAACGGACCACGGATATGGAATAATTTGATAATTAATTTTAATTTAAATTCTGCTTTATATACAAAAGTGCAGGCAACATTTAGAAAAAACTGAAAAATATTTTACTGAACGCTTCAGTATAACCATCTAATGTATTCATCATTCACACTCATTCATACTCTTTCACATTCTTTCACACTCATTCACATTTATTCATACATACTTGTAATCATTGACACATCAAACATACTAACTCATCTCGTCTCATGATTGATATTATTAATTAGAAATTTCTTGTAAAGGTGGCTGTGCTCGATGAGTCACATGCGGACTCCTCACAGTCATCCTGTATCTTAATTTTATGTTTTTTTGAGGTCAAATAAAATATATTGTATTGTATTGTATTGTATGTATGTATGGATGTATGTATGTATGTATGTATGTATGTGTGTGTGTGTGTGTGTGTGTGTGTGTGTGTGTGTGTGTGTGTGTGTGTGTATGTATGTATGTATGTATGTATGTATGTATGTATGTATGTATGTATGTATGTATGTATGTATGTATGTATGTATGTATGTATGTATGTATGTATGTATTCAATTCAATTCAATTCAATAATGAGTTTATTCAGCAAAAAGCTAGGAGACCCGAAGATATGACTTGTTGGGCCACCATAAAATTTACACCAAAAATTATAAATTGAAAAGAAATGTTTATATTTCACAATGAAATAATGATAGTTCTGTAAATAAGAAAAAATAAGATTAATTAAATTATTTAAGTATTAATAAACTTTCTTAAAATCGAATAAATATAAAGTACATAACGGAAAACAATCGCATTAACAGAGGACATGGTTGAAATAATTTGACTGAATGAGCAAATAGATAGATTTTCTAAATAGAGCAAGGGAAGAAGAATTTTTAGTAGTCATCGGTAATGAATTCCAAAGACGCATAGAGATATATAAGACGGAGTTGAGAAAAAAATTTGTTCTAGGTTTCAAAAAGTAAAATTCAGAATTAGAACGTAAACAATTTTGCCTAGTATTTTTAAATAAATTAATCTGGTCTTTAAGAGATTGACAATAATTTAATTTATATATTTAAAAAAAAGATAGTAATAGATAAATAATATGTAGTTGGTTTATGGTAAGGATATTTGCTGTTTTATAGTATGAACTTACATGGTCAAATCTCTTTAATTTAAACAGAATGCGAAGAAAAAAATTTTTGTTTGATGGCTGTGCCCGATGATTTTATTTTTGTAATCAATTAGTAACATCTGAAGGTTAACATATTTCATTAAGAGATTCTGAAGTTTTTGGCTTAAGTGGCTGTGCTCGATGAGTTTTATACTAACTCCTCACAGTCAACCTGCACCTTATTTTCTTTATTGAGGTCAAATAAATTATTTCGTTCGTTCGTTTCGTTTCGTATGTATGTATGTATGCATTAGACCGTTTTATTTTTATTAAGAAAAAAAATTTTTTTTCAAACAAGATTTGCATATGGGTTTATTTTGTGTCATTTGATGATATAAAGACAAACACTAAAAATCAATAAAATCAAACAATGTTAAGTGACCTCTCATTGATGAGATTGTTCAGAAAATTCAGTTTTTTAAAGCATTTTTTTTAATTAATAAAAAATAATTGTTTTTAATTTATTATGAATATTTATATATTGTTATATTATAAAGTAATGTCTGAATCAGTATAGTTCTTTTTCTAAGGTTCTTTCATTAATTTCCTGTGATGCTCAATCACTTTATACATCAACTGGTGCTGATTTTCATCATGAGTAAGTGCTGTATTAAAATCAGATGCCAATTCAACTGCTCGCTCAGCACAATCATTAACTACCCGTACTGCAGTCACTATCTCTTTTGCATTATTGTAATCCACTAGTTGTGGCCATACTTCTGGATCAAAGCAAAGAAAATTTTGACTGAGTTTCAATGTAGAAAATAAATTTAAAGACTGTTTTGTCACAAAATCTGACAAAATCTTGGATTTGACAGAACTTATGTGTTTTGGATCTACTTTTCTAACATCATTTTTTTTGCTGGTTTATGCTTTAACCATAAGCCTTTTCTCATCGACATTAACCAAATCATCAGTAGACATAAGTTTGAAGAAGACATAAATCATTGTAAGGAGCACTACAGCTGTTTGCTGCACAAAACCATGCAGTAGGATCTGAAACTCCAAGAGTTATGAAAGAAAGCTTAATCAATTGCAAGTAGCCATGTCGAGGTTGAGTATTTTGCAGTTGGTCTTGAAGAAAATCAATCATAGCTACACGATTTTGTTTTAGCCACAAATTTTCATCATTAGTCAAAGAACAACCAGTTGTTACCTTGTCAATCGATGCATATTTTAACTGATTAATTGATGGCCATTGATCTTTAAATCTACTAAAAATAGCAATTTGATGGCCAGATGAAGTGAAAAATAAATCAAATAAAGCTGTTCCAATAATTTTAAGAATATGATGCCTGCATGATAAAAACAAGAGATGTTTATTAAAGGATTTCTGAATTATTGTTATAGCACCAGTATGAATGCCAGTATTAGAACTTGTTGTGTCAAAACACAAACCAGCCAACCAATTTGACACGCCTTTCCAATTCTGAAGTAACTGAACTATTGTGGTTCCTATGTTTATGCCAGTACCGCCAATCTTTGGTATAGCTATCAGTTTTTCTACATTTTTCCCTGATACCACAATTGGCAGGCGATCTATGTTTACACCATCAAAATCAGGTAAAAGTTTTTCATCAAAGTGAGCCACAAGATGTGTGTTTGGCAAAAATGTGTTTTGGATAGTTTTTCCGATAGATTGTCGTATAGCTTTTCTAGATCCGTAAAGAGAGCTTGTTGACAAAGTGAGTTCATCAACGTTGATTCCAACTGCCTTTAATGCTAAAGCAACTATGTGCATGGCTTCCCTATAAGTTGTTTTTGTACGATCTAGACTTGCCATGAGCAGTGGGTCATCTACTTGACACCTTTTTTTAAGTTCATTAGTTTTAGGAGATATCGGAGTACTTCCTGCAATTTGATTCTGATGGTATTTGCTGACACCCTACTTCCTCATCAGACTTATCGCTTATGTCATCTGTTGATGTTGAATTATCATCATCATCTTCATAATTGGCTGTTTCTCTTTTTATTTGGTTTTTTTTGTTTTTGATTCTTTCTTAGTTTCCTTTTTAATCTTTTCTCTTCTTGTTTGGCAAATTCTTTGTCTTCTCCAAACAATAAACTTTTGTAATGTTTTATAAAAACATGTAAAAATATTTTAAAAACCCCAAACACCAAAAAAATCATTCAGGCTTCATAAGAAAAACAAAATGTGATTTGAGAGGTCACTAATACTTATCCATTTTAATTGAAATTTTTACAGGATGATACAAATATAAAACCACACCATATAAGCCCCTATGCATTGTTTTTTTGAAAAAAATTTTTTTTGAAACAGTCTAGTATGCATGTTTGTATTTATGTTTGTATGTGTTTATGTATGTATGTATATATGTATGTATGTAAATATGTATGATAATTATAAAATTACTCTTAGACATACTGAAAAGCTCAACCGTGAATTTTTGTTGAAAAATGGCAGCAGGAGTGGAATAAAACATCAAATTTTTTAAAATTAAGTATGCCATCAGTAAATAACAAAAAGCTCAAAAATAGTTATTTAAATCGTCATTTTCAGTTTGTTATCAATAGATTAAAAAAAGGACACTCAGCAATCACACATTCCAGGATTTTCAACATAACAAAGCCACCTTATTGTGAAGCCTGTGACAAACAACAATCTATTCAGCATATATTAACTGAATGTGAAAATACCATCAGATCAGAAGAAAACTCGGGGTTCCATCAAATGTAGAATTGCTATTCCAGAATAGAAGCCAGGAAGTCTTGATTTCATTTGTGGAGGAGATAGATTTGATCAACAGAATTTGAAGTTTCCTACATGTCAAAACAAAAAAATCAGTTTCTAATGATCCAAGGGCGTTGAAATAGCCGCATCGTGCTGAAACGCCGTTAAGCTGCAAAAAAAATTATGGTCTTGTTGGCAAAATTAGTAGCTTTTTCATTAATTAAATTTAAAGTAATTACGTTATCCTCCAGTCATTATTCAATTCCAAATAACCGAAAATTTTATTATTTTTTTAACGTTCACATTATCTTTTCTACAGATCCAAATATATGAATCAACATACAGATCAACATAAATTTGTAAATGTTAGAGTCTGTATGCCCATCTTGTTCTTTTTTTTGCAAACAATTTATGCCCTGGCAGACATATAAATTTAATTCAGTATGCTTCTTTGAACGAGTTTGCGCAATACAAATTCGGAAATCTTGGACATTTGTGTTTTACGAAAGCTGGTAAATGCGTTTGTATGTATGTATGTATGTATGCGTACAAGCATGAGTGTTTGCATGTATGTATGCATGAATGTATGTATGTATGTATGTATGTATGTATGTATGTATGTATGTATGTATGTATGTATGTATGTATGTATGTATGTATGTATGTATGTATGTATGTGTGTGTGCAGAGCTTTTTGGGCTAAAGCAGAGCTTCTTGGGCCGAAAACAAAATACAAAAATATAAAAGAAAAACAAATCAACATGTACTGCTCGTGCCCATGTAATCAAATATAACTTAAAATCTTAGCTATAAATACCATTAGCTATTTGTGGAGGCCAGAGCTATAAAATGAACAATTATTGCGAATATGAAAAAATAATCGGTGGTTATTAATTGAACAATAACTTTTAGTTAAAGTCGATGATAATTTAATACCCGCATTTAACAATGTCCATAGCTTTATACCATGAACAAAAATTGAATGTGGAAATTGAACAGTACGAAATGGTCGAATATAAAATTTTGATGTATGTCTTCTTTTTCTTTAACAACTAACGATGTTTTTAAAAAGTACGCATGAAAATACATAAACATATTTAACCTAATCATTTTGTAAAAAAAGAGGAAAATTCTATATATATAATTGTTCAAAATTCTCCAAAATAATTTGACATCCTGTTAAAATAATGACATGAGGTTTTATGTTTTTACCCTAAACAATAAATACAATAAGGATTTTAATTAATTTAAAATTGACAATCTTTTAGATGTTTTCTTAACAATTTCTGTAATATGCTTTTCCCAACTCGTGTTGCTACACCCAAAAACTAAATAGATGTTACATTAGGTATTAAAACGCTATTTAAATAAACTTTAATATTGTGTAAATTTGTAACAATTTTTAGACTACATAGCATACACTTCGTCCTTGAAGTGTAAATGTTTAGATCATTTGAAAACCTCGATGAAAAAACATTATCTAACTCAAGGTTTAGTAAATCAACCAAGTTTGTTAATGATTTTCCAGTCACTAAAATTGACGTGTCATCTGCATACAATATAAATTTCAACATTTTAGATGGAGCAGTCAAATCTTTCATGAACAAATTAAATAAGGGTCCAAAGATTGATCCTTGCGGTTCGCCACTTTCAATTGAAGACGATGAGGACCTGCAACCACTCAGTGGGACATACTGTGTTCTTCTTTCAAGCAGATAACTTGAAAACCACTGTATAAAACACTTCCAACGCCTGCATGGTACAATTTATATAATAATAAGTCTGGCTGAACCGTAAAAAACGTCAGAGTCAATATTTTGCTCAACCTGTTGACATAAATCTAAAACTGCCAATCCAGTTGAGCTATTTTTGTGAAAACCATACTGATTTTGTTAAACGTGTATGAACTAACTTTTTAATAACATTTGAAAAAGTGGATATTAGAGAGATCGGTCGGTAAGAATGCAAACTTTTTTTCATTAAATTGTTGTTAGATTTCATTTACTGACAGACAGATGAATGTTTACCTCTTCAACATACGATCGAAAATCCATATTTCTGACTGGGCTTAATTTAAATAACGCTAAAACTTTAAGGAAATAGCACATCATTTATATATAGAAGCAAGAAACTTTGAGTTATTAAAATATCAAATAAGTTAAGGACTTTTACGGCGTTTAAATACATCTATGAATATATATCTATAATATAGCCATATAAGTAATATAAATATATCTATAAATAAACGTATTTTTTTCTTTCACGAGTTTGTTTCAAATTTTAATAATTATTGACAACATTATACTCGATTGTAATATTTTCAAGTTTGCAACAAGTCTACTATGTCAAAAGGCATGGCGCTTTGCGAAAATATCGAACTAGATGAGATGTCAACCTGGGTTGTGATGAAGGGCACTGTATCCATTTTCAGATGATAAATACCAATGATATTCCTGGATTGTTTCAAAGAACAAAAAAACTAAGGTAAAGTTATGAGATTTTTATTAGAATTTAGAGTTTGAAAGAGTAAAGTTAATAATGATGGGAAATAAAACTGAATATGATTGTTCACATTTATTTCTTGTTGACGTAATGTTTTGTTTATAAAACCGCATAAACAATTTAAATGTAAACAATCTTAAAAACAAGAAAAAATAAAATATAAAAAAAATTTTGAAAACGATTGAACTTACCAACAGAAAAACGAAATATCCGAAATCGAAAGACTTCCAATAACATAAGCTGAAACTGGTGCAACTAAAATTTGAAAAAATAAAAATTAGTTAAGTTGTGAAAGTTCCACAAGATGAGCGAAGATTCCCGATGTATGACGAAATGACGAATTAGACGATTCGTTTTAAATAAGTAGGAGAGATTGTCAAAAACAAATTGAACTTATCAGGAGGAGATAACCTGTAAGTGTCCAAATTTTTTGTTCATAAGCGCCACCGATTTGTTAGCAATTGAATAAAAAGAGAATTGAATCGCAAATAAATCTACTATATTTATTAAGATTTACATTTGAAATTTTTTAGCGTAACATTCACAAATTTTAAAAACCAAATTTAGCATCAACACTTTGAATCTAATTGCTACACCATTCGATCACAACATTCAAATTTAGCACAACAAATGTCAAATTTAACAGAAATCTCTTTAAAAAGTTTTTTTTACAATGTAAATTTTATCCTTATATATTAATAGTAAAATTTTAGTTAAAAAATTACCGAAGGTAACACTTAAATTGGTTAAGGATTTTTAAAATTTTGTTTAAAATTTCTGTCTATAATATTATTACATAATTGCGATATCTTTTAAACCTTCAGTTGCAACATTTCTATTTAGAGCTTCAGAGCAAACGATTGTACATTCCAGTTGACATGCTATGTTGATTACCAACTATGTGATGATATGTATGCTTTCCAAACTTGGCAGTTTCTACGTAAGTCATCTTACATGCTGTATTATTGCATGCTGAAATTAATTTTTCAAAACTTTCATTCAGACTCATTTTTTCACAAATTTAACGTTATATTGAAACTAAAAATTGTTGTTCAATAAGATGTTGATACAAAAATGAGATTGAATTAATTAAGTTTATATATACAGTATATATATTTATTGTTTTATCAACTCAAAATATTTTCGCTATATTACAACGTAAATATTAATTTACATAACGTTGAAGTAAGCAGTTTTTATGGCATACTTTATTTTTTACACATTTTTGCGTTCTAAGTAAAACTAAAACACAGCTTTTCTTTGTTTCTTGTTTTAGACGGAGCAAAACTATGAGTACATAAATTTATACCTGAAAAAAAATAAATATAGTTGAATCATCATCATAAGTCATATTCTTTTGAATATTATCTACTAATGAGAAACCGAAAAAAATACTAATTGATATTTTCTCAAATAAAAAATTTTAATAACACCTCTTTTAAAAGGTGGCAAGAAAGGACAAATTCAAAAAGACCAGCACCAATGAAGTAGTTTGGGCAAATGATGGACACAGCCCATGTTCCTACAAAACGTTTTATAAAACACAAACTTGATAACCCCCTCAACCCACAAGTCAGCTGCTATTTCGTTGATGAAATACCTAGCACTGTGAACATTCCTTCATGTGGTTCTATCAAATATTGTGCAAGCAACTCGACAAAAAACATTCAAAAATTTAAAAATAAATTTTGTTTTACTGACAGTACCTTAGGAGAAAATCTAGTAAATACAACCGCTGCTAAATCTGACGTTTGTAGTCCAAATCACGACATATATTTTTCAAAAACAAAATCATTTAAAAATCATAAAAGTACCAACATCCAAGAAGTACCTCTCAGCAACGTAAACTCCAACTCGCTGTTGGAGAGCAACTCCAATTTACCAGTTTGTGTGGTTTCGGCGAATGCTCGGGCAGACATTGAATACTTCAATTTAAGCCTTGGCAAAAATATGGCCTATTCCACTTACAAATTGGGTTGTATGCCAACTTCTGATAGGTATCTCAACCCAGACAACCACTACTACTCTTCTCAACAACTCGAACCTTTTCAATCAAGTTTTTCTGAAAAGAATTATTTCTCGAATTTCAGTTTTGAACATCCGGCACTTCAAAAACCGTCAATGTACAATTCTGGTCATCTTGTACGAGACATGAAAAAAAAAAAATTATTAAACCAGCCAGTGCGAACAGATAGCATCAACATACCTCATCCTCTCGTTCGACCTGAATCAAGGTGTCAACAGCTTTCAGCGTGCCCTAGCGTTAAAAACTCCTCATCACGTTGCAATGTATGTGCAAATAGGTTTTCGAAAGTATTTGCACCGACACCATCACCTTTAGGGTTTTCACCGGCTGAAAAGCCTCTTGGCAAACGATTGCCCAACTCTGTAAATCTTTGCAGATGCTGCACGAGCGACGGCCAAAATGATGACTTTATAAGAAATGTACACAGTGGAGATCAATACAGTTATAAAAATCAATGTCCATCGTACAAATTAGATTCTGCAAGATGGTCGCAAATTCGGCACAGCCTTCTCGGCCCACGACACCAACAGCCTTCGAACACTTGTAACCCACCATGTTCAAATCCTATGCCCTCGTGTGGCTGTCCTACTTCAAACTATCAACCCCGTGTAGGGTTTACACAAAAAGAATATTATTTGGGAGACGAGGATAACACAAAAGTTAACATTACGGTGCGCGTTGAGAAAGATAACCAAAGTTATCCCATCAATATCAATTATCCAGATAATTCGCGTCAATGTGACTTCATTAACGAATCAGATCAAAACGCCATCTACCAGGACCCAATGTTCTGCAATGAAGATCAAAATGATGGGCTTACAGAAACCGCTTATCCTCAAAATGACCAGTATCTTTTTGGTAAAAAAGTTCGTTGTGGAGCTCAAGCTGGGTTAACAAGTGGCTTCTTTGAACCGCTTTTCAACTTTTTTAAACCGTGCAAACCCAATATTGACGATAATTCCTCAGATGAAAATGTTGGGAGAAAAGATCGAAAGTCAAATCGAAAACTAACTTCTGAAAATGAGAAAGATCAAAAGAGAAAGCCTCCAGGAAAAGATAAAGAGAAAGAAAAAGCAGCCACTAAGACAGATGAACCACCCTCAAAAACTGAAGAGACAGAAAAAACTCCCACACAGGCGACACCAGGTAAAACGTCATTAATTTCCAAATTAGAAGAAGGTTATATAATTCATCAAATTTACATTGATTTCGATTCATCAAAAATACATTTATATAGATTCATTGATTCAATTTTTACTTGATTCAATCGATAATCGAAACAAGCTAAAAAAACCCACAAACAACATAATGATGTGAACGTGGACATTAACGTGGACATAGGCCAATCAATGATTTTTGGCACATTAATCGCAGTTTTTCACACAAGAATATAAAAATTATTCTGTTTACTGAGAGTTAGGCCTTATACGTATATGACTTCAACAAATTTATTCAAACAACAAAATGACATATTTTGTCCAGTATCGTTATATTAACACTTGAATCTGCTGTAGTGTCACTATTCAACGGTAGTTTAATGTCAAAGTACTTGTTCCTACTTCTAGAGACCGTGTTCAAACGCATGTCTCCTGCTGGACGTTGAAAGTTGCAAAAACTAAAACTTACCTATTTTTGATGAATCGGCGATTCTAAAGCAAAATAAAAATTGAATTGCTATACCTACAAAAATGTTTCTAATTTTTCTAATTTTTTTAAATTTAAGCGGATAAAGGTGAAAATTTTATGAAAAATTAAAATAATCATTTTATTAACAAAATAGTTAAAATAGATTTTTTTATTTTATTAACAATATTATTTGTTAACAGAAAAGCTTTTATGCTCTATAAATAAAATTTTTTTTAAATAAATGGAAAGGTTCCAATTATTATATAAAATTTTATCTGGTTATCAAATTATTTCATTTTAAAATTAAATTGAAAATTTAGTATTAAAAAATTTTTTAACTATTTAAATTTTTTTAACATTCTTCAGAAAAATCACCTCCAAAATGTAAATTTTTTTAATATTTGAAAAAATTGAATTGAACACCACATTATACAACATCACGATCACCAAAAGTAATAAATAATGATGAAAAAAGCTTATAAACAAAATTTATCCTATTTTTGATGATTTGATAATTTTAAAGCAAAATAAAAAATTAAATTGCTAGACCTAAAAATAATTTTTTTAATTTTTCAAATTTTTGTTACTTTCAGTGGAAACATCGTCTCCAACAAAAGGTGAAAAATTTTATGAAAAATTAAAATATTCAATTTATCAGTAAAATATGGATTTTTTATTTTATTTTAATAAAACAAACAAGTAGGATTTGCGTCACAAGTGGAGTTTCTCAAGGTTTGGTGCTTGGCCCTCTACCATTTGTTATCTACATTAATGATATCGACTTTGGCATAATGTCGAAAAGGGTCAACAACGAGGAAGATGTGAAAGTTCTAAGACAAAATTTGACAAGATTGACATGACTATAGAAATGGTCTGAAGATTGGCAAATGCTGTTTAACATAGACAAATATAAAGTTATGCATATTGGAAAAATGAACAAAGGCTTTCAGTATCAACTGGGCAGTAAAGACCTTCGATCTACAAATGAAGAAAAGGACCTTGGAATCACTTTTCATAAAAGCTCGAAAACATGAAAACAGTGCACTTCGGCAGCAGCCAAAGCAAATCAAATACTCTGATGTATAGGAAGAACGGTGGTGAGCAGAAAGAAATTGATCATTATAAACTTGTATAAAACATTATTTCGCCCTCATCTTGACTATTGTTCACAGGTTTGAAGTCCGGATCTGCAAAAGGATAAAGACACTCTTGAACGGGTAGAGCGTAGAGCAAAAAAGATGATCGAAGGAGTTGGAAAACTAGAATATAGGGATAAACTGAAAAAAGCGGATTAACTACACTAGAAAAAAGAAGATTTAGAAGAGGTCTGATTCAGACCTATAAGTTAATAACTGGAAAAGAAGAAACACTGTTCACTAGGTTTTTTCAACTAGAAAAAAGAAAAAAAATTAAAAGGTCATAAATACAAGCCTTCAAAATGACAGAAAACCCTATAAAGTAAAAATTTTCAGCAGCAGGGTGATAAACGCCTAGAACAAGCTGAGCAGCTGAGCAATGAAATTGTCTCAATGGCCTCAGTCAGCAATTTTAAAATCAAGCTAGGGTAACTAGGATACTGGTTATTTATATTGTAGTGGTTTTTTCACAAATGCTAGTCTACCGAACCACTTTAAACTTTATTATGTTAGTTTATTAACAAATTTTTTTGGTTAGCAGAAGTCTTTTAAACTTTGTATAGAGTGCTATATAAATTTAATTTTTTTAATAAATTGATAGGTTTCAATTATTATAAAAAATTTGTTTTTTAAATTAAATTAAAAATTTAGTAGTAATATATTTTTAAACTATTTTAAAATTTGTTGAACTTTTATCAGATAAATCATCACCTTCAAAAAGTGAAGTTTTTTATTATTTGAAAAAATTGAATTAAACACAACATCAGAAAACCGAAAATAATCACCATCACCAAAAATAATAAATAACGATGATGATTGCTTAAACGTTAAAAGTTTTTTATTTTTAAAGTTTGGTAATTTCAAAGCAAAATACAAAATTAAATTGCTAAACCTACAAAAATTTTATTTTAATTTTTCAAATTATTATAATTTTCAGCGGAAAAAACGTCTCCATCAAAAGGTTAAAATTTTATGAAAAGTTAGAGTAATCAATTTATCATCGGAATAATTAAAATCAAATTTTTGTCTTTATTGACAAATTTTATTCGATGTTAAAATTATCATTAAAATAATACTTTCAATTAAAAATTAATTTTTTCAAAATATATTTTAAATACCAAAAATTATCCACTATGAAATTTTTGCACGCTCCTTGCATTGAATCGATATTATTAAATTAAAGATTTCTCTATACAACAACTTTCATTACAAAAGCACGATTTTATTAACATTTTTGCTGCTTTAACGGCTTCTACTACTACTACTACTACTACTACTACTACTACTACTACTACTACTACTACTACTACTACTACTACTACTACTACTACTACTACTACTACTACTACTACTATTACTAAAACCGTTATTGCTATTACTACTATGCTACTTCGACAATAACTACTTTTACTTCTATCACAATTCTACTGCTACTACTAATCAGCCAGCTTGATAACCGCCCAGACAACCATCTAGACTAAAACTGGGGAAAACATTTCATTCAGAATACATATTTATTTTTATTTGATTAACAACTGACCAGAGGGCATCAAGATGTCTCTTACCCAGTCAGAAAAAAATGAATTAAATTCAACATAAATGGCAGAACAGAAAAAAAAGAAAATGTTATGGAATTGAGATCAATTAAGAAAATAAAGTAAACTACAAGTTTTCTACAGACCAGTTTATTAAAAAAATATTTTAAAACGTTTTTTCAGCGTCTCGCAAAGGTTGGCTAGATTCGATAAATTTTTAAATATTTCAATTGTAGCATTTGGGTGGCGTGGTGGCCTAGTAGTTAAGGTCGACTAGTGCTGTTGCACAGTAACTGGGTTCGAATACGACAAAGAGATCCTCGTTAATCACATGCTTCGTGTGTTAAACGCTGCAGCAAGAATCCTGGATGGCGTATCAAAATTTCACACCATCTCAAAATACATGCGTGAGGAGTTGCATTGGCTACGGTTTCCGGTATGGATAAAATTTAAAATGGCAAACCTGAGTGAACAACAGGTGCCGGCGTCGGATTTCAAGGACGCCGTCATTTGAGGTCACCAGGCCATGAAAACTTGATCCATCTGGTATTCAGATCGACAAATATTCTGAAGGCTAGGTTTGCAGTAATTGCAGCTGAAGTTTAGAACTAACATCTTGTACAACTGAAAAATAGTTCCATCACTGAGAGTCTTCCGTTCAAAAAAATTTTGAAGCATCATAATTTCAACGGTGTGCCCATCAGAAAGCGCTTCTGAAATTTTATCGGAGAGGCGATGTACAAATTTCAGATACGGATACAGATGCATCGTTTAGCATGTATTCGCATATGATGTTTGTGTCTTGTTGATACCTCTGAACTTAGGAAAAGTGCAACAGATTAAATTCCTTGAAATATTTGCTGCTAAATGAAATTTCGTTTTGTTCTGATAACGAAATAAAATCCACCTTTTAAATAATGTCTATCAATAATTAATATATGGACAAGTAATATCAATAATTGTTCAATAAATATAAATAACTAACTTCATTAGATGTAAATGTTAAATTAATTTCAATGATAATTAATTAATTAATTACAAAAAAATTAATCATTTAATTAATTGAATTCAAAGGATCAGCTGGAGGGAAAGGTTTCCAACAATTTTAATTCAATTTCTTTCCTGTGGTCCACAAATTAATTTGATATTACTCTCAATTACTAATTAGTTATTACAAATAGTAACACACAAAACTGAAGCTGTGTTTAAATTAAAGAAATTATCGTAAAAAACTAAAAGTATGATTGGATGAAGAAATATTTGAGGAAAAATAATATCATTTCGAGATATAAATAAATGATTGAATTTTCATCATTCTTACAGGGGCAGTATCGTCCAAAGGTAAGTTGATAGTGTGATAGATGGAGAAAAAAAGAGAGAGATAGAGACGAATGAATTGATGGATAGATACATGGATGGATGGATTAGAGAGAGAGAAAGAGAGATGGATGAATAGATGGATGGTTATGGATAGTAAAGAGAGAGAAATAGAGAGAGAGCGAGAGAGAGAGAGAGAGAAAGAGAGTGAAAGAGAAGATAGAAAAAACTGTTGATGATTTTAAACAAATAATAAACTCAGATTTCAAATAAACCTAGTTCAGCAAAATTTTAATGAGAAAAGTTGAATATATACCAACCCGAATAAATAAAACCCAATTTACTGCTTTTGAATATTTACACCTCTCAGAATGATGACACAAAAACTTTTCACCATTCTCTAAAAATAAATTAAAAAATATAACAAACATTATATCAATAATATTATACAGGAAAAGACGGTATTGGTTTTTATGTTACACTAAAAAATATTATTACTTTCATGAATTTTTCTTCACATTTGTATTATTTATAAAAAAAAAGAGCTCAATTAACGAAATAATTGTATTGAATTATTTATAAAAAATATTTTTTCAGATAAAAAAGCAAAAGGTAGACGTGATGATGAGTGTTCTTCAAGTTATAATATAATCATAATATTTATCAAGATAATTTTAATAATTACAAACAACAGGAATCAAGTTTTCACTACAATAAATGAAATTCAATTACAAAGACACACATATATACTCACACATGCAAAATTACCCTAACCCACACACACCTATACACATACTCACACCTTTAAGGAAAACCAGCTCCAGCAGTCAAAAGAAAGGCACCAGCTAGTAAAGCCAAACCCGGTGCTAAAAAGAAATGAGATGATGATGATGGGTGTGTGGATGAGAACGGTGATGATGGTGGTGAAGACGATGATGAGGATAGTGGTAATGGTTGTGAAAATGATGATGGTTGTGGTGAAAGGAAGTTGATGATTATGCTGATCATTATGATGAAGATGAAGAAGAAGGTTATGACGATGACTTCAACTCTGATGTCAAAGATGGTGATAATGATACAAATTGTAAAACAACCAAAAATGTTGTTTGTAGTGATGGTAATGACTTCCGACAAGATGATAAATAATATGATGATATAGATGATGATGGTGATGATGAAGGTAAAGATGATAACGCTGGCGTTGTTGATGTTGTTGGTGAAAGAAACTATGATGACGCAAACAAGAATGGTTGGGTGACCACAAAAAAAATGTTGACTATTGGTCACAATGGTGAGTGAAAATAAAAATGGTGTTTTGGTTTAATATTGAGTCTATAATGTTAAATTATGGTGTATGATATGGTAGGAATGGTATCGGATTTGGTGCTTGTTGAAATAAATATCAGAAGGAGTAGCAAGGTTGGTGAGAATGCAACTTGAAATTATCAAAAAAGGAATGTGCGGATGATTGTGAGCGGAGGTCAACGTTGTCCATTTCTTTAGTGATGTTGGTTTATCCGGTATTAATGATGTTGATAATTAAAAATGGCTTTAGTTGTATATTATTTTATTTTAATCCTTCTTAAATTTTAAAAATAATTGTTTACATCATTGCATGAAAAAAAATTGAAATTTAAAAATAAAATTATGTCAGATGTTTTTGATTTTTTAAACTTTAAAAAAATTTAACCGTTAAATGTTAATTACAAATTGCGAAGATTTCTGATCAAAATTCACGTGCCGTACAATAAAATGCATTTGTTCATAATTTCTGAAAATATCACATTTAAAAGAAATTAATCCATGTTTCAAATTATCCTTGAAGTATCAATCGAATAAAAATATTGAATCTAACGATTTAATTATAATTTGTGACTGACTGCTCTTATCAAAATTTTTACCTTTCAATTCAACCAATGAAACACTAATTACAGAAAAAAATTGGATAGTGGATACATTAATATAAGCACGTAATTGATTAATAACTCTATTACAAGTTTAACTCGTACAAAAATTCAGAATGGATAATTGTGAATGCATGCCAACCAGCAATGATATGAAATGAACAAGACTTAAATTAGGGATTTGGCAGCTAACCTTGAGCTAACTTTGAGTGCTTTGTGTGTGATACGTCATATAGCACATATTCATTTTCGATGTTTGTACGCTTTGTTGAATCCTCTGAACTTTGGAAGAGAGTAATTGACCTTTAATTGACCTTTAATCTTATCAAATTCATGGGCAACTTAATAATAAAAATAAATACATTCCCTGCTAAAATATAACCTCAAACATTCCAAAAACAGCTACAATTTTCCGATTCGATATTATCTTCACGGCAAATAATATTATTCTCGTCATTCCTAAAAGTGACAAGAGTATTGTCGATCGGACTCTTTCACAAGCTTTCTTCAAATTTATTAAATTATGTATATATGTTGTCATCAATGTATCGTATTAGAGTTTGTACATACCATTTTATTCATTGGTTTTTTGGTTACGTCAAAAAATATTGCCAAATAACATTTTATAAATTTGTTTGTTTGTTGGTTTTTGCTATCCGTGTCACTAATTTGTTTACGGGAACTAGTGTTATCGCAAATCAAATGTAAATCATATAAATTTGCTCACGTTGAATGTGGTTCTTTTATGAGTGTTCTTTTTTAAATCCGGAAAAAAAATAATATTTGTAGCGGCTACATCATTTTCACAAATATTAAATATAAACAATGTTTTAAAAAGAAGAAAGTCATTAAATTCTGAAAAAGTTTTATTTAACGAGATGGCGTGACCAAAAAGAAGAGGTGAAACTTGGCTGACGCCAATCAATTAAGCAGAATCTCGTCTAGTTGAGGACAATTTTAAATTCATGAGCAACCCCAAGACCAGGCTGGAACAGCTAGTATAAATATGGTGGTGAGGTCATAGAAAGGATAAGAAGTTTGAATTTTTTCAAGTTTCTATGGAGTTTACTTTTACATTTCTCACACGTAACACATGAAAAACAATCAAAACGTAAACAATCTTGTGCAGTGAATAAAATAAAATAAAAATAAAAATCGCAAACAGTCAAACACACAAAAACATACCAATACTTAACTCTGATTGCTTTTATGATCGCTAATACAACAACCGAGTTAATTTGAAAACTGACCAAAAATATTTCAGCACAACTGGAACCAAAAAATGTAAATGCTATAAACAAAAAAAATAAATGTGCACAATATGGTTGAAAGGTACAACGGTGAACAATGACATAAAAAAAAACAGAACTGGATAGGTCTAAAAATCTTCATCATCAACATGTGAGACATTAAATTATTTTGCTTTGTCATATTTACTTTATTAATTTTGCAAATAAAAAACTAAGTCACCGACTAATAAATTAAACTACGGTCAAACATTAATAAACCATCCCAAATCTCATGCTTTGTTATTTGTGATGTACTATGTTTTAAAAAAATAATTTCCAATTTAGACTCTGTTTGTATGTTTGTATTTGATTATTAAACGTAGTTTATTAATTACAAATAATTGGATAAATGAATAATAATTCATAATAAGTAAATGAATGAAAAGGTGTCGTTTGTTTGAGTGACTGACTGACCCAGCATTTGGCCCAGTAGCTTGCCACCATCTGCGCACTGATAGCCAAATTTAATGTTTGGTTATAAAAATATTTGAAGATATTTTAGAACAGTCTACAATAAAATACGTAGTTTTTTTTCTCAAAATTGTACTAAAAGTTTTTTCCACGCAAAACTCGTCATTTTTGTGACGATTTTCTCTGACGCTTCTATTCACGCTTCACTTTTCATCTTAACTAAGGGTATGAATGATTATGAATTGGTAGATGTGAGCCCAATCAAAGACTTTAAATATTATATAATTAAGAAAATGTTTTAAAATTCAGTAATTTTTTCAAAATATTGCTTATTGGATTTATACGCGATTATAAAACGTACAAATGACACATCCCGAAACTTACTTTAAATTTATAGATTACTTTGCATAGATCGGCGTCAAAAAGGTAGTTCATCAACTAAATGACCTTTCTATCATGAGATGCTCATATCTGAATTGACGGTGTTATAAATTTTCAAAGTGAAACAACCTTGATCTAAAAATATGTCTTCCAATAATTGCAAACCCTGCTCACAACCTTCTCTGACATGCTGTCCCAATCTGTTCGATCCTAAATTTCAACCGCACAACTATAAACAACCTCCTAGGATAAATTCATCAACAAACACTTTTTTGGCTCAGTTTCTACATAACAGGACTCCGCAAAATTTGTATCTTCAACCAGCAGGAAAAAATTATTCTAATACAAAAAACGTGTCAAATTATAAACAACAAACAAACCTTAGTTATCCATCATCACCAAACTCTATTGTTAAAACAAATAGTCGGGAAGTGTGTTTTGATCAGTGCTCCTGTAATAAGTATATTTCTAGTCAACTATCTAAAAAACCGTCTAGACAACAGTCAAGACAATCTGTGTGTAAACATGCTTTTACAAAAAATAATCAAACGCACAAAAATTCTGCTGAGTTTTCTCTTGGAATAAACCAAAGATCGGGTTTTGGCCAGTGTTCAAGAACAAATGACCACAATGAAAAACACCAGCTAGCGTGGACTTCAGATAGACCAAATCAAAGACAACCATGTCGATTTGAGAAAACTCCTAGTTACTGGGATTGTTTAACCACAAACGGAATTGTGAATGCGTCATTATCGTCGATAGAACTTTATCTGTCTGAACCATTTTATGAAGATAAATCCTGCTCATTTACTGCCAACGGCATGAATTTCGCAAGTCAAAGTTATGTGTTGGATAACACTACATGCAGTTGCTACAACAACACAACACATAAAAGTCAAAGTCATGTTGCCTCTAGACAGTCAGAGCCACATAATTTATATAGTGAAGTATTCAATTCAAGTACCACCATTCCATATGGCCGTTTACCCGTGATGTCAAACAACTTTAATAGAAATAAGACAGCGACCAATGTTCAAGAATATCCACCAAAAAAAGAATGTATACGTGGTGAATACTTCCTAGAAGATGAAGATAACACTAAAATTAAAATTACGGTTTCCGTCAAAATAGATGACCAGCTAGATGCAATTAATTTGACGTCTGGTAACTTGGACAATAATTCAGTAATAGATGATGATGAAAAATATCAAAAACGAAAGAAAAAGTTTACGATTTGTTTGGATGAAAATAGACAACAGACTGAAACATTCTCAACTGACGCCACTTCAAAGAATTCTGATTCAACAACCAATTTGAAAAAATCATTTCAGCAGCAACCGCTTACCAATGATAAACTCCTGGATTTACTTAATGATTTATTGATTGAAACCGGATTAAAACCATGTTCGTGAAGGCCGCTTGGTAACACTTGCCAGCAATATAATCCAGTTAACGACAATGCGGAGCATAGAAATGAAAAACAAAATCAGAAATTTGATAACAAAGAACGTGGTAGACAGAGACATAAAAGAAAGAAGAAACAGAAAAAAAGATATCAGAAAATGAAAAGAAAAGCTCAGATAAGAAAAACTCTGATGAAAATGAAAGAAGTGCAAGAGTTCTCAAAGGTTGTTCGTTAACCCAAGTTATTTTTCTGTACTCTAAGATGTTTATATTAGTCAAAATTTCTATTAAATTTTAAATACCAAATTTTGTAAGTGAATTTTGTATTTATAATAATTAAAAAAGATTCAAGGAAAACAAAATAAAAAAGTTCAAAGAAAGCTGATGAAACGTCCAAATGTTCTAATAGCTCTACAGGTAGTAAAAGTGTTTTTTCGATTTGTTAAATTTTTTTCGTGATGAATTTTATAAATTAAAATTCACTTTCGTTTTTTAATTTTTATTATAATTTATTATAATTAATCACGCATCACATTATGCATATATTTATATTTATTTAAATTTATGCAACTCATGCAAATTAAAAAATAATTATAATAATAACAGCAGTTGACGCGAAAACTAGATAAGATTGTAAATAGCATTAGTTATAATAATATTACTGTTATAATTGTTGTTGTTGTTATTATTATTATTATTTTTATTATTATTATTATTATAGCTAATCTAAAATCAAAAGCATGGCTCCAATTTGCACATGATACCGCAATTGTCGCCAACAGCACAGAAGGTGCCCAGAGGCTGATCAATATCAACAATGCATGGTGCCAATGGACAGGCATGAAGATAAGACCTGACAAATGCTGCACATTTGGAATGCGCGAGAAAGAAGGTCAGTTTGAACAATTTCTACCCAGATTATCACTTGATGATGTGTCAATTCTTCAAATATGTATCAACGAACAATTTACATATTTGGGTAGAAAATATGATTTTGAAGGCAAAAATACGAAAGTAAAAGACCATCTTCATTTTAAACTAAGAACCATTACGCAATTGATCAGTTAGACACCACCACCGCTCAATGGAAACTACAAATTTTAAAATATTTTGTTCCATCGCAACTCTCATTTGATTTAAGAGTATACGACATACCTGTTACATGGATCGAAAAAAGCCTCGACGCAATGATCACAGAATCGGTAAGAGGTTGGCTTTCACTTCCGGTCAGCAGTTGTGTTGCGGAAATTCTGACTTTGCCCTATAAAAACGGAGGCCTCAACATTCGATCACTTTTGAGATTAGTCCTATAGGTTTCTACAATCCTTTTAAACTGTCCTTAATCAATTTAACTTGGCCAAACATTTTTAAAGATAACCTAACAAATTGTGCAATTAGTTCATCGTATGCAATATACTGTGAAAGGAACAAAACATGAACAATTTTTTGTATAATTTTTTATCATCATTTTCTGATGTGAATGATGAGCATTGATGACTATAATCATTTATATACTTATGAAATTTGATTTTAGATTTTTGAGGTTCAATAATAAAAAGTGTTTCCATTGTTCCATTATTATTATTATTATTATTAATAAAAGTAGAGTTCTAGTGAACGCATACACATTTTTTAAAACATGTAATTAAAATGCGTTAAGGTTTGGGTATACGTGCACATTGTTTATTAAGTTATAAACTTATGCCGGTAATTTATTAACCCAAATCTTGCATTATACAATCGCATTTTCGGGAATGTCTGTACGTTGTTATATGCTTGGCTTCCATTGCATGTGCATAAATTACTTTTCATTATATATAATGTCGTGGGTTAATTATATATTTTTTTCTTATTGGAGGCATAGGAGCGTTCACTTCACGCCATTTAATAATAATAAATTATTATAATTTGAATTTAATAGAATAAGTAATTAATAATTACAAAAAAATTTAATAGCTTTTGAAGTGGAAGTAGATGAAATCAAAGTGGTACGAAAACATACTTTTGTATCTTAGGGCAACAGTGGTGGCTCTAGGAGGGCAGTACTATTGTTAAGTCAATAAAAAACACACTAAACACACACACAAAAAAACCGTTTTATGTAAAAAATCGACCAACAATTGATGTGATAATCAAAAATAGGTTGCAACCTAATTTGGCCACACTAGGAAAAGTTTTATTAATTTCTTGGCCCTGTCAAAATTCAAAATTTTTGTCACCTCCTCCAAAGTAGTCTCGATCCTTGATCCACTACTAATGTGCAAGCACCGCATCAGCCGTACAAGATGAGTTAAAATTGCTTAATTCAGGAAAGACTGTATTCAAAGCTGCAATGGATCAACAACAATGTTAAATAGCAGAGGTTGTTTTTACTTACTGAGCTATCGTAAAATAATTCACGCTAGCACTAGGGACAACATGGCTCAAAATTTAATACAATGAATGGATTGTTGAACAAATTTAAAATTTGCACTAGATGAATTTTCAAATAAAAAAGGTTTATTGTTGCGATGATCTTTACATTGAATATAATATTTTGAATCTGGTAAAATCTAGGGCCAGCAGGCCGTAAAATTAATTTTGGTTTGTACGCAAACATACACAAGAAATTTTTCATTTGGCTTCATTGAGAGAGAGAGAGAGAGAAGAGGAAATAGAGAGCATATTTAAAAACGTGTGACTCAGCAGCCAGGCATCAAATGGTACGCCTGTAAGAGGCGAGAATCTCTCTGATTTTGAGCCCTGCCACTGCGATGCATGACCAGACCAGACTCATTTCATCGCTATTACATTTACACGATAATCTTTTTTGGATTTTTCTGTAGAAGCCAAATCAACAATGCAAGGTTAGGAATGGACGGATAAAAGATGAATGGATTAGTAAGATTAACAGTGGAATAGTTTTTGTCGTTAGAGTTTATAGTATGAACAAGTTGCGTAGCCAAAAACTCTTCGCAAGAAAGCATTGAAAGTTTATAATTTCAAAAAGATGATTTTTTTTTGGTTTCACTTATTTTTAATTAGTTTTCGTCGTTAAAATAGGTTTTTATTAAAACTCGACAAATTTTATTGCCGTTAGAAATTGTAACGGTTTAACGTGATGATATTTCATATGGAGAGGAGATATTTCAAAACTCAACCTTAGCCCTAACCAAATTGAAAATTGTGGGCGGGGCTAAAGACTCCAAACCCTTCTTTCGGAGCTATGTTTCTGACGTAAATAGTTACTTTTCAAGTGTAACTTTTGAAAAAAAAAATTATTTCAATTGAAAGAAAAATAAAATAATTACATTTATAAAAAATTATATTTGGTAAATTGTTTGAAAAATTAATTCACGTGTCGACACTTGTTTTAATTTTCAGATGTCGATGGTAAACGATATCTCGAATGCACAATTTAAATGGGATTTATTCACACATATGCTCATTGCAATCCTAAATTATAATTACCATTATCTATTATTTAAACAATTCAAGGAATTTTTTATTTTTAACATAACTTTTCTGATATCTAACGTTTTTTTAGCAGTGTGTGTGTGTGTGTCTGTGTATTTGTGTGTGTGTTTGGTGTGTGAAACCAGTTGGCGTGAAAGGATTATCATTTGTCATTTCAGAAAACTAATTTGAATTTGTAAATATATTTTCAAAATAAAATAACCGGCAAATTTGAAACGCCAAAGCTGGTTTGTTTCACATCAAATGTAAACAAACACTACATAGTTTTTGAAAATTTATTCCTGGTTTTTCTGCTAATTAATTAATCGTTCCATGTTTTGATTTAAATTTTCAGATGATGAAGGTTAAATTAACATCGAAAAATGAACCATTAACAAAATTTGTTGTATTTATTTGAAACCTATTTCAACACAATATTCATTAGTATTTAAGCATAAAGTGGCTTCCTTACAGACGACCTCAGTGTTAATTATGATTACATCATCATGTGCAATCTTGCATACTTGTATTTAGAACCGATGAACTTATGATGCATGGCACAATGAAAAAATTATTGTAAAAAAATGTCTTATTCGAATATATCTAAAAATATCTCAAATATCTATATAAGTTATAATAATATTTTTCCTAACCTTTGACATCTACAAGTTAAAATAATATTTTTTCTTACATCTGACAAACGCAGAACCAAACAATTCTTGTAAAAGATTTAAGTTTCAACATTTGAGAAACACCTCCGTGCAGAGTTATATACATGATTTCCTACTCAACTGTACATTTATATTTGTATTAAAAAAAAAACATCAAACCCACAACACCCCTTATTTACCAAATGCACAATTGTATGCACGCGCAAGCACCGAACCGCATGCACGTTAGTCATAAAATAATCACCGTATTTCCAATGGAATTTTAACTCTGAACTATGTTACGTTGAATTTTTTTTTTTTTTTTTTTTTTTAGGAAATCGTAATCTTAAATGTTGTGATGTTTTAAATGTTGAACAGGAAATGATTTATATTAATTGTCGTCCATTGATTTAATTTTAATTGTCTTGAGAATTTTGAGAAATTTTTCTTATTGTAATTTATTACTTGATGCGTTTCAAGGGATCTCATAAATTTAAGAATCAACATATTTCTTAAAAATTGTATATTGTAATTTATGGAAAATTTCAGAGACAGAAGGTACTAGCATAATCTAAAGTTTAACTGTCCTGTGTTCAACTGACTTACAAAGGATTGTGATTTTAATAAAGATTAAATAAAACGCTTTTAAATGAAGTTCAACTGAAAGAATTTTCTGATTTTGTTAACTGAATTCGGCGTTAATGTTTGCAAGAAAACATTGCGATAAAAAGTTGTTAAATATTCGTTATATAATGTTTTCAATTATATATCTTATATAATTTTAAATGTAGATATAATAATATCGCAATTAAAAATTAGCACATTAGCACTTGACGAAGGTTAGGCTAAAAGTTCATTCATAAAGTTATTGCGTGCAGAGAATATTTTGTACAAGTTCATAAATAAAGGAAACCTTAATTAATTAAAAAAGAGAAGAAATATTCATATATTGTTGTGAATACATAAATAAATTATTTAGTGATTTTTAGTCACATTTTTTTATTGAAGATGCTTAAATTTTTATTGTAAAAAATAATAAAATAATATTAAATTGTTTGTCAAAATTTAAGCTGCTATGTATGGGGGTGGGTATCGTAGGTACTTCTGGAAATTTATTAAAAAAAATTAATAATTCTTGATCAGAAACGCAGACCACGTAAAATTATGTGTAGACGCACACACTCACACATACACACACACACACACACTCAAACGTACAAACACAAACATACATAATTCAACAATTCAAGTTAACTAAAATAAGCACATCATTTAAAAATAGTCATTATTTCATCATATAACTTGTATTCATGAATTTAAAAAAAATTAACTCGCCAGGCCAGTCTTCAGCACCAAAAGGTAGCTGAATAACTGACACAAATTAATTATAAAAATTTTCATTAAAAAAAAGATATAAAGCGAATTTGTGAAATTCCCAAATGTGCAAAATAGCCTTTACACAGGAAACATAAAAACCGGATGAGGCAAATGATATGATGAACAGATTCACTCTTTAAAACACATACTCACAAAAATAGACACACACACGCAGAAACACACATGAAGACACTCTCACAGACACAATGCATATGTATTACATAAAAATTTATTTCTTTTATTCATAATTGGTAAAGCAAGAATATAGACAAATACAAAACACACGCACACACACCCACGTTTTAAAAAATCGTTGCACCGATATAAAATAACCATTCAAGGCGGTAAGCCACAGGCAACCGACAAAGGAAAACCTGGAAAAAAGAAATGAAACCAGCAGAAACCAGATGATGAAGATGATGAAAACGGCACTTTTGATGATGACGACGATGATGAAAGTAATGTTTACGACGAGGAATACTGGTTATTGCTATTATTAATACTATTGTTATCATTATTTTCATACTTTAATAAGTGATGATCACAAGATCTTTGAACATTTTAATTTTATTTTTATGATGCATGTTTTTGGAAAGAAATAAAATATGTTCTCATCATTTTAACGTGGATAATTTGTTGTATGAAAATGCTAATGAAAAATATGAAAAAATGGCAAAAAGCATTTTCTCCTATTTTCTACACACTGTCATACGTCAATAAACGTTTTGTAGTTTTGGTTTTTATAAAACTTTTATTTCAATTGATGTAATGTTAATTAATACAATTAAATTTATAGCTTACCCCAGGATTGACAGAACTAACAATAATAATATAATTAAGACATTAATGAATTGAAATAAAATAACATCCAGGAACTTTTGTTATTACGCACCTTATAAATGGAATAATTTGCCACAATATTTAAGATTAATTAATAATCTGACAGAATTTAAAAAGAAGTTGAGAACATTTTTAAATTGTTTAAATTAAATGTATTAATATTTTATTTTTAATATTATTCATTTTTTAAGTTTAAATGTATCAATGTTTTATTTCTAAGTTTATTCATGAAAATTTAAGAACATTGAAGAATTTAAAAGACATTTATTTTACTCATTTATGTTATCGTGTCATTTTTTGGATTACTTACTATGTTATTTCTTGTTTTATCGGAGTCAACCCTAGATAACCATTTATTGCTAGGCTGACTCTTTCACTTTTTTTTGTGAAAAAATGGAATTAGATTAAACTAATATTAGTAAGAATCAACTCAAATAAATAAGTAAAAGTCATCATCTATATTTTTGTTTTTTAAACAATTTTTCACCTGACACATCAGACACTTTAATTCTAGTTCTAGAGGTCATTCAAACCGGGTATCATGACACAATTTCTCAATCCTACCTATATTGTATCAATCTTGACATATAATTTTACAGTACGAGTTATTACGACATCTGCATTGATTTAACAGGAAACCATTCCATAAGCTTCAACATAACTAACAATAAATATTTATTTTTTATGTCTAACATTCGCAATTTGCGACCGGTATTTTTGGTATTTTAATTTACTTATCTCAAACTAATTTAAAAACTTGAACTTGAATTCACATTTAAACATAACCGACGTAACCAACTGTTTACAAACAGAATGCGAACAACTAAAACGTAAACAATCTTTCGTACGATTAAAAATGAAATAACCAAAAAAATTGACAAACCAGGAAACAAAGGAGACCAAAAAATTAATGTTTATAAAAACAGACCGGCGTGCATAAATTATGATAATAAAGTTGATTGTTAACGAAATAATAACAAATAAAATAATTTAACGTTTAAAATATTTTAGTGTTGTATTCGATATTGAGAAACATTTTAAATAAACTTTGATGTTTAAAAATAATAAATAAGAGCTTCCGCGTTACAGCCATTGGCAGAAACATTTCTGGCAGGACCATTGAAATATTAGGAGAGCAGCCGGATGATAAAATATAAGAAGCAACACGTTAGCATCAGATGTTTTATCTTTCAACGTCAACCAAACAAATCATTATCTCAGCAAGTAGAGTCATCCAAATTCATTAGACAATTAAATAAAACTAACTTGTAAAGGCATGTTATTGAAAAGTTAAACGTTTTAGGTTAATACGATAAATGCGGTTTAATATATTAGGAAGACGGCTTAGAAACGTCAAAGTGGACTTTTTTGATATGTGTTTTTATCAGATTATTATTTATATACTTTCAAATTTTCCTAAAAATTTATAAATTATTTCAGATTTATAGATGCTGATATGAAATTTTTTTCTTCTATAATTCTTCAAAATTGATGTGACATTGAAATGAAAACAATTTCATTTTGCTGATGGAAACAACAAAAATGTTAATATTAAACCGTTACGATTTAATTCTAGCTAATTTAAGGGGACTAACATTTTCACAATAATCATCAAAAGACTTTTTTATAGTTTGCTTCTTTTTTATTTATTAAATACGATTCTCTCTTGAATATTTTTTCTGCGGTATCAACAACAAACAAACAGTGTGAGTAAAAATAATTTTCTAACAACGCATCGCATGAACTGCATGAGATAGACGAGGATCTATTAGTAATCGAACCCAGTCACTGCACCAGTTGTGCCAGGCGCTTCATCGTTACGCCATCTCTCCGCGCGTTTTATTTTGATCTGGCAGAAGCAAGTTTACAAACAAAAAAGTCTGGTTTCAATCGTGGCCATCAAAGAGTGCTTCCCCATGTTAAATATTTAAAACGCCGTTAAAAATGGTGTAGACTGGCAGTGGCCGATTAAGGGGGACTGAGGGTGGGCCATGGCCAACAACAGTCAACTTACATTTTGCTGTAATTTTTTTTAAAAGTTGGCAAACTCAAAGCACAGTTTTTATATATGAAAACACAGCATTAAATAGAAAAATGGCCATAAAATTGTCCGTTAATCATATAAAAACGTCTCCAAGTGTTTTCAATTTTTGCTTACCATCAAATTTTGGCTCTCCACACTTATTTTGGCTAGATCCGCCTTTGCAGTCTGGAAAGCCACTAGACTAAAATTTTTATTTTTTTCTTGTACTTTTTTAATATGTATAAAAAATATTTGCATTAAACAGATTTTTGTTACATTTGAAGCCAACACTTAAGAGCCCAGGAACATTTATAAAAAGCTCCAAGAAGTGCGTCAAATGAATAAATAATGGACATAAACCATGATTTAACAAAACAAATAATAAACTACCGCAACTGGCAAGATAACAAACTTTGTGTCGATGAGTCATCTAACATTGAAAAATCCTATTTGGATATTTCCAACAAACACCGATGTAAATTGTATAAAATTCTCACTGTCACAAACCCACGAAAGCTTATAACTTACAATACAAATAAAACACATAATCTACATAAACATTTACAGATTAGCACAAATTCTTACTCATTGGAAATCACTTTAATTCATTAAATTTGCTTGAAACCTGCCAATGCCCAAAAATTTTCTATTTTAATTTTGGTAAAAAATGTTTTGTAATAAATGCACTCCATGTTCAGGTAAACCCGTTTCTTATTTTTTCATCTATCCAAAACATACACCCAGCCGTCGTTACTTGCATCAACATGAACAGTTAAAACAATTTAACTATTACCAGAATGATGTTGATGATGATGATGATTATGATGATGATGATGAAGTTAACACAGATGTCAAATACGGAAACTTACCATTCTATACTCAATCGATGTATGCAGATTCTGCAAAGTTCTTAAATAATTCAACTAAACAACAAATGTTGGGAAACCCTGTAAGAGCAATTACGCCGAATACTCATCATTATTTTGTGCCTGAGCCAGAAAGCCCTCAAATGAGCCTATATTTAAACAATGGAACTTCCGGTTGTCAGACCTGTGTATGTGCTAAAAGACCCACCGTTTTATTAAAACCGTATTCACAATCGTCATGTGGATTTTCGCCGACTGAACCAAGCTGTACCAAAAACGATTATTCGAGAAACTGTCTCTTTCCCAACTGCAAATGCAAAGAACATGGTAAAAATTCACATGAATTGAGTAATCTTAAATGGAAAGATATTCGTTATGGTTTGATTGGGTCACAGCCATCAATTCCATATATTTATAATCAGCAAAGTTTATGTTCACCATCTTTTGATTCTCACAGTTATGCCCCAGCAGCGAACCTTCCATCCTATCCTACAAATTGTCTAATAAAATGCGCATCATGTTCTCCCAAATGTCAGCCAGTAATTAAATGTACACAGAATGAATATTATCTAGATGATGATGAAAATATAAAGATCAACGTCACATTGACCGTTAAAAATGATGATCAAACTTTTATTGATCAACCATGTTATTGTAATCAGCAAGATCAAAATGGCTCAAGTTATCATTACCAACCATATAGAAGTAAACAATCCAGTCCAACGAGTACGTCTTATCTGTACCTTTCAGATTATAACAAGCAGCCTACTCTGCCTAGTAATACGTATTTTAACCCACCATATTCCAACACACCGCCTGATCTAAACCGTACTGTTTCCCATATTTTCCCCCCAATTTCTGATGAATATTCGCGCAATATATTTTCAAAAAAGCAACGGCATAATAAACAGAGAGAAACCCAATTTACAATGAACCCAACTCCTAGCGATCGGTATCTTTTCGGTAAAAAAGTTCGCTGTGGAGCACCAAATCCGAGTCGATTGTCCACCTGTCTCTGTGAATCAATCGGTTGTTTCTTCCAAGCATATAAACCCGTTAAAGTGGAAAAGAAAGAAAATAAGAAAGTGCCCAAGCGTCGCAAATCAACTCCTTCAGTTTTTGAGGCATCAGAAGATCCACCAAAAGATTCCCCGATACCTAAACGTCGCAAGTCAACTCCTCCAGTTGTTGAGGCACCAAAAGATCCTCCGAAACCAAAATCTAAACCTAAAAAATCAAGCAAGGAAGGATTGGAGGAAGGACTGAGGAAAGGGGATCCTAGGACAGACGAAGGTTGAATATTTAACTTCGTTGTTCTTCTATTGATGACAATTTTGCTATTATTTATTCAATAATAATTTTCCATTGTAGCATTTACTTGATTGATAACATTTTTTTTATGAAATAATTAAAAAAAGAGAAAACTTAATAACTGTGTTTAACAGAAAAATCATGATCATCAAGTGGTATAATTGTTTTTTCTTTTTTATAATGCAACTCTGTCAAACGCAGAGCTGCGTACATGTTATTAAATACTTATAATTGAACTTTCGTGCTACAAAGACTTGCACACTATCCAAACCACACGACGCACATACACGTCGTGCAAGCACCGCATCACACGCGTTTGATGATCTTTGAGTTTCGGACAGACAGTTTTCGAACCATGCCATCGTATATTAGCAGTGCGAGACTTTGCACTCGTACTGACTGAGCTGACTCGGTGACCACCTTCTCCAGTTAATTAATTAATTGATTTTAATGAAGCAAATAAATTTAACATAAATAGTTCTTATCCATATTTAATGAAATTTGATAAAAGTTCCGCTATTATTCGTATAAAAAATCATTAAAATACCTGAAAGTGACGGTCGTTAAAAATAACATGATAAATTTATAACCAAATGTTTTTTTTGAATATTAAAAAACTTTAGTATTAAATTTAAAACATTTTTTTTCCATTAAATAAAAAAAACTATCTTTCATTAAAGTTCTGTATTAATAAAAATTGGGCAATGACTCGGTTTAACTGTGTAAATAATTGAGACTGTCTTCAGACGTTTAACCTCTTATATATTTGTTCAACAAACATCAAATATTTTTTTCAAACTAAACAACAATTTTATTGTTTCTCTAATTGAAACATTTAATAAACTTTCTTATTGAGTGAAGGTTAACAATGAAATGAAATTGAAAAATTTCAAAATATTTTTATTGACAAACGATGATTTTATCATATTTCATGATTAATATGAATATATGTATAACGTTGTTTAATTTTTTACATTATCAAAAGATTAAAAAATCTCTTTCAAGTATTTTTGACTAGATGGGTTGAAATATAATTATGTTTTATAAAAGTATAACAAACTGAAATATATAAACAACTGACTGAACTTTCATCATGTTAAATATTAATCGTTTTGAACATTTCACAAAACCCTGAATATTTGATGTTTGTTGAACAAATATATAAGAGATTAAACGTCTGAAGACAGTCTCAATTATTTACACAGTTTTGTGAACATTTAAATAAAGATATGATAAAGATGGGATTTTGTGGATTTCACAATTTTAAAACTTTCAATAATTTTATTCACACTGAATCTTTCTGCTGCAGTGTACGCAGTATTTTAAACTGAAAAAATTAGATAAAAAAATTTGAAATGTTGCATTAAAAATATATTAATTTTATTGTAACTGTGATTTGACACTTTTACTTGGTGCTTGTACTCGATTAGAACCGATTTTAAGTACTTGCACTTGACACCTAAGTACAAAGCTTTAAATTGTTTTTGAAATAGTATACATATATGCAAAATTACTTGAAGCACGAGGTAGGCGGGTATGAGGTTGAAATTTCTTTGAACTCAAAAATAAAATAAATTTCGTCTGCTACGTTTGAATTAAATAAAAATGTGATATAATCTCAAGCGTAACGGTATAACTTAACAAATGTTGTGTGTTGATGTGACGACAGCCAGTAGTAATTAATAAGGTATAAAACAATCATGTAAGACAAATGAAATGTGGTAATATAATATCACAAATGCTATAAATTTTTATTGATATTGTGTGAAATATTTTGTCTTTTATATTGCTAAAATATTTTCCTTTGTTTTTAAAAGGTCAGAATTCTTCAAGTAAAAAGACGTCTTCAACTCCTACTTCAGTATCTAAAAAAAATGTACCCTCCCAAAATAAGAAACCACCCGTCAAAAAAAAATCATCAAAAAAGAAATAAAATCAACCAAATCGTAGTAACGATAGAGATGAAGGCGTTGATGGTGGCTGTAGATAAGATGATTGTTGCTATGTCGTTGATGATGATGATGACAATGATGATAATAGTGATGATAGTGATGATGAAGGATAGAAAAGTAGGAACGACAATGAAATGACGGGTGATATGATGATTGTTAAGTTTTGTTTATGACGATGATGATATTGATGAAAAGAATGCTGACGAATATGAATTTGAGAATAAAGTTTATGACACTGATGATTTTCAAATTCAATGCAAGTAATTATCATCGGAACATTACATTAACTTTTGACTAACTAATTATCGTCTGAGAAGGTTTTGTTGAAAAAATGTAGGAGCGAATTTAAAATGTGATGGTTGCAATGCTTATAAAGCGGGTTATTTAGTTAACAATTTTAACATGAATTTATAAAAAGAAAGTCCAAAACGCAAAGAAAAATTAACTGGTAGCATCAATTTTCAAAATTCACCTCAGTTTATCATTCTATCAACAGGGATTCATGAAATTGAAAATAAACGTTCTACGTGGGCGATAGAATGATGAATGAGGACTCAAATTCTCTCAGGTCAATGTCAAGTTCAAATGCTATATTTCAATCTTACTGTTGAAATTTTATAAAGGATAATTAGAATTTCAAAATATATTTTCGAATTGAAAAATAATAATAGTTGAAAATATTTAATTAAACAAAGTTATAACAATAAAAGTATTTATAATAATAATATTGAAAATAATAGTGAGAAATAATAATGAGAACTCTTTTATTCAAAACCAAGATAATAAATAATTGAAAATATGAAATGGTAAAATAATATAACGTCAATAATATAAAACCACTACGCTCAATTCAAAATAAAAGTACAGAGCGGTGAAATATATTCAAATTTATATCAAATTGTTTCTTTCGCAATAAATGCCGTATGATAACCTTATAACAATGTATATAATGGATATGGCATAAGAATTGTTACCTGCCTAATAATTTTGATTAGTTCTATGGATTTGTCAATTTATTCACATTTAATTAAAAAATTGTCTATTTTTGTCGTTTTAACATTGAAATTTTTTTTCAACGGGCAAGTTTCCTCTGGACAGGAGGTAAGTTCTTAAAAAATTAATTATTCATGAACATTTTGGTTTATTTTTAGTTTTAGAGAAACCTGAGATATAATTAGAAAAATCTCCGCCTTTCCAAAGTTTTGTTAATGACTCTGCCGATTTGCATTCAAATCGTTTGTTAAAATTTATTTTGTTTTCAACATTAATTTATATAAGGTTTATAAAATATAACTGTATATAATGTTAATCGTTAAATTAAATTAAATGGATATTGCTATTTTTATGATGCATCAGAAAATTTGAAGATTTATATTTAGTTCGTTAGTGATCCTCATTTTTCTGAAATAAAAATTTCTTCATTAATTTTACCAGCACCCACGAACCGTGATGAAGATGGATTTCATTTACTTCAAATCATTTCATTGATTAGAGATTAGAGTAAGGCTCTCATCATTCCTAAACTAAATTAGAATATAGAAAACGAAAAAAAAACTGGTAAAAATTTTATTGTAAAAATTAAATGTTATTAATATTTAAAAAATCTAACAATCAATTTTCATTGTTATAAATAAAATAATCAACTAATAATTTTTAAATTAAGATGTAATTCCTGTGCATATGTCCTAAACTAATATCTTTCAACACCCCAAAGCTTACAACACAAAGGAATATATGCTTTCAACATAACATACCCAAACCAAATTTAGTTACACAGAGGTTTTTAAAATTTATTTCAGTAGTAAAAGCAAACGATATTTTTTCTGTTTAAATGTTATGATTTATTAATATATTAAATAAATTATTTAATAATTCAAGTTGAAATCAAATTCTTCAACTATTTCAATTGTAATTGACATTATTATTATTATATTAAAAAAAAGTAAAAGTAATTAAATAGTTACAGATAAAATAAAATTTTTTTTTGCATATCGTAGTATCATGAATTTAAAAGTGTGGTTGGTGACGTGTAATCACTGTTATAAGTAACTATGGAAAGTTTGTCAGATTGTTGATAAATTAATCAAAATTTCGGAAAGTTAAACTTATTTGTATGTTGTTGAATTATTGGATATAATTAAATTGAATCCGTTTGTATCTTCACGTCTCATTAACACCATTATTCGAAACTTAAAATTTTATGAACATAATAATTATCATTATTTTATTTTATTTTTTTTATTCTATTGAATTGTTGATATAATAATTTTCATATCGGTTCGTTGAAGTTGTTGTTCCAGTTTGGTTGTCATTGGCCATGTTTCTGCACCATATAACAAGACCGGACGTATCACAGATTTATAAAGTCTCGATCATAGTGGTAGTGGGATGTC